TAACAGGTCTGCCTAAACTCGAAATGCAATCATTCCGAACACTAAATATACAATCACGAAGGACTACAATTTAAAGATAATTTTCTTGCGTGCCGTACATAAAACAGCTATTAATGCTGCTATCGTGTTTTTTATTTTAATTTTGTATTTGTTTAAACAAAACTCAATGCAGAATGCTTTACCGCAAAGAACAACATTTTCGTCGATCCAAAACTGCCAGTATCAAACGACAATCTTCTGTATATGTGGTTTGATAAGTATTTTACTGAGATATAAATTGATTCATATTACATGGCAAACGCTCGTAGCCGAAAACTCGTATATTTTGTATCTCAAAAATGTTTTCTTAACTTAAGCCTACAGTATATACATGTATCAATGATAAATTATACCAAAAGCTTTAATATCTCAATGGGATATTATAACATAAGCCATATGACATTGAGGAAGGGACATTACAGTCTGAGATATCGAATTATCAGCTGTTTCATATTATGAATTTAGAATTAAGAACATAATGACAGGTATGCCTCGCTGAAAGTCACCTGGGAATTGCTTGCCATTTGAAAACATTTCATAATATGTTTGTAATAAGCTCCTTTCCGACGTAGTCATGTGCGGCCCATTTATCAGCGAGGTTAAAAAGAACCACAGGAAAAAATATATAGGCCTACTAGTAAATACGTAATCTTCCATCCATGTGAAATTATTATTTTGTATTGGAAATTGCAAAATTGTCACCTTATTTGTTATTAAAGCTACTGGGATGTTTTGTGACTTTATTATTTCATTTATTGATCTGTTTATTCATTTACTTATCTATTTATCTATCTATCTATTCACCGAAATGTTTAAACATCCATTTATTTGTATATTTATTTATTTATGTATTTATTTATCTATTTACTCATATATCTATTTTTGATAATGAAACTACTCACTTACTTTATTTTTGACAAGACGCCTCACATATAAAACATATTAAAACACTGCAAGGAAGACTTTAGAAAAAATATATTGCAATTTAAATTAATACTGATGATCAATATGTATATTACTCCTGACTAATGAGTAGAATTGTCTTTTACGCCTCTTATGGGTATAAAGATAAAGCTAAATCAACTACAAGTCGATCTGCATTCGTGCGACTGGTGTGACGTCACCACGATTTACAGCATTTTCTGGTCTTTTCCTTGACTAAAAGTAAAAGGCTCACAATAACCCTAACATTACGTAAATACCATGGACATGTACACTCGAGACATCAGACAGAAGAATCTACATACCATTATGTTAAATAAATAATCCTACAGCCATTTTCAAGGAAAAATCTAGTCGTAGTGGGGGGGGGGGGCAAGGTTCCGGCGGCCTTTCGGTGAGAGTTTCGCATACATTACTGCCCACGAAAGGGATTCGATTGCGTCGCGCCAGGCTTAATTTCAATAAAAATTGATGGGGAAGGGATTTGGAGGGGTAATCGCCGTGAATGATATTGACCCCGAGTAAAGGTGATATATTAGATTCATGAGCGGGTGAGTTTTATCTCCCATCTACATGTATATCCCATCTATTAATCAAAACTAAAAATACGTATTTTCAGTTGAGCGCCCAAGTCCGACTTGACCGGGGTCTGTGCGAGACGACGGATTTTATATTACCCTTTATTTTCTCCATACTCCTTAATTATTTTCCAATATATAAAGAATGTCAGGTACAGTTTTTGAGGTTGATTTCATACATTCTAGCTATACATAAATTGTTTTGTTTTGTCAGATGATTGGCACAATTTAACAAACGTGTCTGAACTAAGAGACTATGCAGACTGCACAATCTAGTGCATCATAGGCACTGTACTTATCCTGCTCATGACACGGCCAGAGACTGACAGAGCTATAGGCTCTGCTCAAGACTTTATGGAATTATGTTCAAGTGTCGAATTAGAGTCTTGGCACACAGACTATTTCCCACTATCCCTCAAGCATAGGGGTTATATACGGGCCGTTTTGTTGAATATGATTTGCATACGAATTCCTCGTTTTACATCTTCAAGTTACACTAAAAATTTCTGACCGTGAGACTGAATTCATAAAGCTTGCACAGGTCAATTATTTTTTTATTCCAGGCATTTTCTAGCCTCCTCACACAATCCACACTACCTATTAAAGCAATTATTAAAAAGCAAACACCTTTTCTTCATTACAAGCAAGTGCGTAACGAGGTGAGTGAAAGATTACATTACTATCCAGAAAATTATCAGATTTCCTTTATAAACACAATAATATTTTTTGTTCTTGTAAAAAAAAGTTTGCAAGCAACGCTTACTTGAATAAAGAAAGTTATCTGTTCGTGAGTTCTCATAATAGCTGGGCTTTCTCTGGCACTGCAAATGAATACTAATCGCCTTTAAAGAAACACAGAAGAGGCTAGGTTTCTATTTAATCGTATGACAGCTTGGGCTCACTACTAAATTGTTTTCAGGTACATCAAAATAGAATCACTTAGGGTGATGCAACTAATTTTGGGGATTTATTAACTAAAATAGCTATAAGTACTATCTTTAAAAAAAATGACGGTATACTTATCCTTTTAGATGGGATTCGAGGGAAAAAAGCTACTATTATACTGTAACGATATATATGTATTGATTCTAGGTTGAAATCCTGGAAAATGCAAACGGAATCATAGAAAAGGCAATTGTGCTATAAAGCTTTTCACGAGTTTTTGCATTCCGTCCATTTTCTTTCAGATTCAATCGTTGTTTTCTTTTGATGCCGACTTCCGTTCTCTATCTCTGTATATCTGTCTCTTTCCCTCTCTCAATACTATCTCCCTTTCTCTCGTTATCTTTTTTCTCTCCTTCTTTCTCTCTTCCTTCACCCATCCACTTATTTCCCCTTCCGTCATCCGTCCTCCGTCTTTCCGCCCCTCCATCCTTTTCTTTCTCTCTCCCTTTCTCCATCTCATTCTATCTATTCCTCCTTCTCCATCTCCTTAACACTCGGTCACTAACTCTCTGATTTTTAATCTTGTATTCTTCTTTTCTTCTCCTCATCTTCTTCCTGCTTCTTTATCCCCTTTTACATTCCTCATACATTCCCGCTCATCCATTATTTATAAAAATTTCGACGCAGCGGATCCCTCTCGGTTTGGAAAGCCAGGATCTAATGCTAACACCATGTCAAGCAGACCTTTAACACAGGGATTTGCTACGCGACACGTGATGAGGAACATTCAATCCTGATCAGTTTTAGTTACCAGCATCCCTGTCAACCTGCTCTCAACCAGTATACCAATGCACGCCAAATGATGCGAGCCCGTGACATAGCTTACGGGGAAGGTCACCTTCAACCGAAGGGCAAAACAAAAAAGAAACGAGGAAAGAGAGGGGAGAGAGAGAATGGAAGGGGGTATAAACAGAGAGGGAAGATGAGACATTTGCGCAGAAGAAGACTCCATTTCAAACCCCTTCAGTCCTAGACCCCCCTCCCGCTTCCTTGCATTTCCGCCCTTACCTAAAGTTAACACCCCACCCTCCCCCTTTCCTCTTCCCCCTCTCCCCATCCCCCTGAAGACGGGGCCCATTCTCCGCCGCTGTTAATTCTAATGTTTTGCCTGATAGCCCAGACCCCCTTCCGACCCCCTTGCATTTCTCCCTTACCTAGAGCTTCCACCCCACCCTCCCCCTTCCCCCTCTCTCTACCCCCTGGAGACGGGGCCCACTCTTCGCCGCTATTAATTCACATGTTTTGCCTGAAAGCAAGCAGCAACATCCGGGAGTAACATCCTCTTATTTTGCTCATTTTAAACCACTTAGTTGCCCCAGTACTTCAACCCATGAAGTAGTGGTCGATCTCTCATGTAGCATTAAAGCTGTATAAACCCTTGAAAATCCCATCACATTTATAATTGACCGCGTCCGCTGTTACTGACAGGAAGTTTTCTCCTGTGTTTGATAAAATCATGTAACGATAAGTCGGGAAATGCTGACGTCATAGACGAGGCTTTTTGGGGAATTGACATGTATTTGACTATTGAGGGCGTTTCTTCGCATGCCACTGATTTTCCTTGTTTGGAACGGTCTGACGACCGTGAGGTTGTGATGATAAATTAATTCTTTTTGATTAGCCCAACGTTGTAAGTAGACAATTACATTGCTATTCCTTTAAAGAGTTGTTGAATGATAATCAGTGATAATTTCTATTAATTATGTTGATGGTTAGTGATGTAAATTTGTTGCGAAAGATTTGTATTGAAGTACGTAATGTAGCAGTGGTATACATAATACGTGCAAGTAATGCATGCATGCACTGTACACGTTTAGTGACCGGAAGTTGTCACGCCTCTTTTGTTAGTTGACAGATTATGAAGTGAGCCATGATAAATAAGGCTGTATGATAGATGAAGCATATTATTTCTTACAAGGTTGATATAAATGTTCAAGCTGGTTATTAGTGATGAATAATAAATAAATGTCTCATTTAGGGAGATAAAAGTTAGGCTTTGAATATATTGTTTATAAGTATTTTGCTAAGCTAAACTTGGGCCTTGTGTTGTGAAATTAGGGTTTTGAGAGCATTGCTTTGACCGGTTATTGTTTACATATTTGAAAGTCAGTGCTAGGATAGAAGCAAGCAAGCCTTTTGTATCAAATAGTTGTATTTAAGATCAGATATTGTTTCAGGAGAGGTTTTTGGATATGACACATAAATAATAGACACAAACAAGTTAATTCATATTCAGTTATGCATTTATTGATTGAGACCAGACAAGATGGATAATTATTGTAACAAATAATGTCATTGATAAGCATGTGTACATGTATTCCAGTATTGATTGGATGTTTCCTTTATTTGTTTTGTTCAATTACAGATTGAACCGTGCTCATACGTGCTGAAGTATCTTGACAGCGTGGTCTCATACTGGGTTTAGAACTTTGTGTCCTGCTTGATTATTTATCGTCACAGTGTCCCCAACATCAAGTTCAATAACGCTTCATCAGGATGAATGCAGCAGGTCAACTTCAAGCTGCTGGTGGGCAGTCTGAGGTCAGACAGGAAGATGAAAACCAGGAAAAGAAACAGGGAAATGTGTTGGAGGTGAATCCTGAAGACTCGGTGAGTCAGTGTGTCAGCCATACTAGCTCTGCTTCGTCAGCCATGTTGAAAGCTATGTCCAGAAAGGCAGCCCTAGCAGCTGAAGCAGCTGCTATAGAAGAACGCCAACAGCTAGAACTTGAGGAATTTCAACTAACGCAGCGTAAGTTGAGATTATCGATGCAGACGAAGCTCAGGGTTGCAGAAGCAGAAGAACAGATATACCTTGAGTTTGAGAATAAGAAGTTAGGAATAAGCTTTCCTGAGAAAGAACAGGATGAAACCTTACCATACACTCCTGGCAAGGTGGTGACAGAGACTGTTGTTCCTACTAAGTCTACAAAGCGTAAGCCTATCACAGCAGATAGGTCTGACCATGGACAACCGCTGACCATGAGTGATGATTCAGATGTAGTCACCCTACTGAAGGAAGGACAACAGGAGCAACGCCGTCTTTGGGAGGTGATGCAGCTGCCTAAGGCCGAGTTGACGCCTTATGACGGAAATCCCCTAGAATTTTGGGAGTTCTGGCGGAGTTTCGAGGACAACATTGACTCTAGTTCGTGCGGAGATAGGACGAAGCTAACTCGCCTCTTATACTATTGTCGAGGGGAACCTAAGAGACGTTTGAGTCCTTGCTTATTAATGAACGCATCACAAGGATATTCAACAGCAAAGCGACTTCTGATTGAAAGATTTGGAGACCCAGTTGTCATCACAGACTCCTGGATGAAGAAGATAACATCTGGGAAGCAGATTGGCCCTCGTGACAAGAAAGGTCTAAGAGAGCTGGCAGATGACATGAGTGTCTGCCTTATGTCGTTTCAAGCAATGGGATTCGAACAGGAACTCTCCCCTCAGAAGGTGCTTCTCCCACTGGCGGAGAGACTGCCTTTCCATTTAAAAGGGAAGTGGCTGAGCAGAGTTGGAGCGATTCGGCGCCAGGAGAGAATCCCAAGATTTGAAGATCTGATGTACTTTGTGCAGGAGGCTGCGCAGGAAGTTAATGACCCGGTGTATGGAGAGCTGATGTCTGGTCAGAGTGAGCAACGCACGCCTTCTCGAAGTGGGAAGTCAAAGGGCTCCTTCTCTACATCTTCCACTGCAAAGCCTGTTGAACTACATGTAGAGTGTTTCCAGTGCAAGGGTAACCATAGGCTGTGGGATTGTAAGCAGTTTAAGGACTTGCCTCCTAAGGATAGAATGCGGTTAGCAAGGAATAAGGGACTGTGTTTTAACTGTCTAAGACGAGGTCATATGATAGGAGCATGTAGTAGCAAGAGGACTTGCTCAGTAGATGGTTGCACAAGGAAGCACAATAAGCTTCTCCATATGACAGAACCTGATGGCGGCACACAAAATAGAAATGTGGAGCAAGAAGCCTCCTGTAGTTCCACAGGGGCCGGCAGGAAAAGTGTGCTCCCTATAGTGCCTGTGAGGGTGAAGGCAGAAGGCTGCCAAGTTATGCTGTGGACATATGCATTGCTGGACCAAGGGTCAACAAGTACATTTTGTTCAGCAAGTTTAGCAAGGTCACTCGGTGCTAAGGGAGTCAAAGGGAAGCTTCTACTAACGACCCTTGATCGTAAAGAAAGTACTGTCCACACTGAAGCCGTCAGTTTGGTTGTGGACTCCGGAGATAACAGCAAGCAGATCAAGATGTTATGTGTGTACACAAAGGAAAATATCAACGTCAAGGGTGTACACATGGCCACAGTCGATGACATCAAAGGACTGACCCACCTAAGAGGGATTGACATCCCTGTGGCCACTGAAGATGAGGTGGGATTGGTCATCGGTCAAGACGTCCCAGAAGCTCTGATGCCTCTAGAGGTTAGACATGGAGAGAAAGGACCATACGCAGTAAGGACGTGCCTTGGGTGGTCACTCCATGGTCCGCTCAGCCGAGCATGTGAAATGAACACTCCAGTGTATGCTACGAACACCTTCATCGAAGGAGATCTGTGCCTCGAGAGACAGTTAGAGAGGTTCTGGAAGCTTGAGACCCCTGATCCTTACAAGGAAGAGAGAGCTATGTCAAGGAATGATGTCAAGGCCTTGGCAGAGTGGGAGCAGGGCATCTGCATAGAGGAAGGTCATTATCAGCTCCCTATCCCGTTCAAGAAGAGACCTCCAGATCTCCAGAATAACCGATGGTTGGCTGAAAGGAGACTCCAAAGTCTTGGAAGAAAGCTTAGTCAGAGTGATGGTCTCCTTCAGAAGTATACAGATGGCATGGCAGACCTTTTGAAGAAGGGATATGCAGAGGAGATCAATGAACTTGACAGTAAGAAGGAATGCGAATGGTATTTGCCACATCACCCGGTATTCCATCCCCAGAAACCGGGAAAAGTGAGAATAGTCTTCGATTGTGCATCAGCATGGAAAGGTTTGTCACTGAATGATGTGGTTAATCAGGGACCAGATCTGACTAACAAGCTGATCGGAGTGCTGTTGAGGTTTAGAACTGCGCCAGTGGCTTTGATGGCAGACATTGAAGCGATGTTTCATCAAGTTCGTGTGCCAGCACCAGACCGAGATGTACTAAGATTCTTATGGTGGCCAACAGGTGACTTGAAGGAAGATCCATGTGTCTACAGAATGTGTGTGCACTTATTCGGTGGGACTTGGAGTCCCAGCTGCTGTAGCTATGCCTTACGACGCACAGCTGAAGACAACAAGGGTGAATTCTCTCCTGAAGCAGTAAAGGCAGTGACTAGGAATTTCTATGTGGACGACTGCTTAATCTCCACTAAGGATGAGGGAGATGCCATACGACTAGCACAAGAATTGAAAGGCCTGCTAGAGAAGGGAGGCTTTAACCTGATCAAGTGGACAAGTAACAACCGCAAAGTTGTGGAAGCCATCCCAGTGGAGGATAGAAGTAAACAAGTTAAGGACTTAGATCTTAGCAAGGAAGCACTACCAGTTGAAAGAGCCCTGGGGATCAAATGGGATGTGCAAGAGGACCGTCTAGAGTACAAGACATTGATAAAGGAGAAACCACTGACAAGAAGGGGTTTGCTTAGCATTGTGTCAAGCATTTATGACCCGCTTGGCTACCTGAGTCCCTTTATCTTGAGAGCTAAGCTGTTGATGCAGAAGTTAGCAACAAAGAAGTTAGGATGGGATGACCCAATTCCAGATGTTGGACTGCAGTTATGGCAGCAGTGGGTAAAGCAACTTCCTGAAGTAGAAAACTTCAAGGTGCCAAGATGTGTGGTTCCTGCAGGATATGGTGCCAAGACAGAGCATCAGTTACATCACTTTGCTGATGCATCCGAAGATGCCTATGGAGCGGTGACATACCTGGTGGTAAGGAACTCTAAAGGGCAAGTCTGTAGCAGTCTTGTCTTTGCCAAGTCTCGCCTCGCTCCAGTGAAGAAGACTACGATTCCTCGTCTCGAATTGATGGCTGCTACTGTTGCGGTGAAGTCAGATGTCTTAGTGAGGAGAGAACTGGATCTACCACTAAAAGACTCTGTGTTCTGGACTGACAGCATGATTGTATTGGCATACATTAAGAATGAAGACAAAAGGTTTCACACCTTTATTGCCAATAGACTGTCTATGATTCACTCTGCCAGTGATGTAAAGCAGTGGCATCATGTCAACACGAAAGAGAATCCGGCTGATGACGTCAGTAGAGGCATGAGTGCTAGGGATCTCGTGGCTAGTGAGAGATGGCTTCATGGGCCAAAATTCATCCTGTTGACTGAAGAGCAGCAGAGCCAAGATCCAGAAGCTGATGATATCCTACTAAACGATGATCCTGAAGTAAAAACTGTGAAGGCTTATGCCGCTGAGACTGATGTTGATGTACCAATTGCGGCTACTGATGAACTGTTGAGCTACTTTTCAGATTGGTGCAAACTAAAGAAGGCAGTAGCTAGAATCTTGCAGTTTCGGGGATATCTTCTGTGCAAGGTGCGGAAGGAGGTATTTGACTGTAAGGTGCTTCTTACAGTGGATGACATGAGAGAGGCTGAGCAGGCAATCCTGAAATATGTTCAGCGCCTGGCATACCCAGCTGAATACCAGGCAATTGAGGAGAAGCCAGCCTTGAATGGAAAGCAGAGGGCTAGTAAGTTGAAGAAGTCCAGCCCTCTCTATAAGTTAGACCCAATGATGAGCAGAACTGGGTTGCTGTGTGTTGGAGGCCGCCTTAGGAATGCAGAGCTGAGTGACGAGATGAAGCATCCCATCATCTTACCACCCAAGCATCACGTGGTAACACTGTTAGTGAGACATGTTCATGACATGGGACATTTAGGCAGAGAGCATGTCCTATCGATGCTGAGGCAGCGATTCTGGTTGATCAGAGGGAGGTCTACTGTGCGACAGGTGAAACGGGACTGTTTTAAGTGTAAACGCCTGTCGTCTCCAACTCTCGGGCAGAAGATGGCTGATTTACCTAGTGATCGTGTGGCGTTTGACAAGCCACCATTTACTAATGTTGGAGTGGACTGCTTTGGCCCTTATCTTGTCAAACAGGGCAGAAGCCAAGTGAAGAGATATGGCTGTATCTTCACTTGCCTATGTGTGAGAGCCGTGCACATAGAGATCTTGCATTCTATGGACACTGATTCATTTCTGAACGCTCTTCATCGATTCATGGCTCGCCGTGGAAGACCAGAGCTCATCAGATCTGACAACGGCACAAATTTCGTCGGAGCAGAGAGAGAGCTGCGAGAGGGGTTAAGTAGATGGAACCAGCAGAGAATTCATGACCATCTACTCCAGAAAGGCATTGAATGGAGGTTTAACCCACCAGCGGCCTCGCACATGGGTGGATGTTGGGAACGCCAGATAAGAACGACGAAGAAGGTGCTCGGTGCCTTGATGAGACAGCAAGTGCTGTCTGACGAGAACTTATCAACGCTGATGTGTAAGGTGGAGTCCATCATCAACGGGCGCCCTCTGACGGTAGTGTCGGATGATGCGGTGGATCCAGAACCCCTCACTCCGAATCATTTGCTCCTGCTGCGGGGTAATGGTACTGGGCCGCCTGACCTCTTCGAGGCACGAGATGTGTATAGCAGGCGACGATGGAGACAGGTTCAGTACCTTAGTGACATTCTGGCAGAGATGGAGGAAAGAGTATCTTCCTACACTCCAAGCGCGACAAAGGTGGAACGAGCGTGAGCGTGATGTTAGCGTGGGTGACATCGTTCACATCATGGAAGAAGCACCACGAAACCACTGGGCTGTCGGTCGCGTTGTAGAGATTTTCCCAGGCAATGATGGGCTAGTTAGGTCAGTTAGGGTGCAAACCAAATCATCGACCCTTGTTAGGCCAATTCATAAGCTGTGTCTTTTGGAATCAGTGAATCATAGATAGGTATATTCTATCCCCAGATAGGTACAAGTTTTACCCCTGTGTTTGTTTCTTAGAGCACTCTATTTGACAGAACTGAACTTCGATAGAGAGACATTTCAAGATGAATAGACATTTTGACAAATGAACAGAGAAATCAAAGTACAGTTTACACCATGGACTGTTATTTGAAAGGACTAATAATTCTGCATAGAGTGGACTCATTTATTACTCTGAAAAAGGACATTTCAAGTATTCACCTGTATAGCAGGCTAGTGGACTGGTTGCTTAGCAACAGGAGCCTTATTGGACTCTTTTTCGTACAGACAACACATCAATATCAAATTTATGTATCGATGTGCATGTATATTGTTGTGATGTTTGTTTTATATACATGTATTAACATTATTCAACAGGTTGTTTTCAAGATAGAAATCACTATTTTATCATGCAATTGCATTTTGTGCAGAGATTTACTTTCTAAAGAGGGAGATTATTTAAAAAGGAGATGAGAATTTATCAATATTGATGTTTTCTGACATTGCAAGAAATTGCTAAACTATGGGATTCTTAGGAGTAAAATATCTGAGAATATGGAATTTTCTTTAGATCTGTGTTGTCTTCCAGTATATACACATTTACTGCAAGCAAATTAACATATTGATAATGTGTTTCAGGTACAAGTAAAGACAGTTATGTGTAACAGAGCATTTAAATTGTCAAAATATTTCCTTTTGATATATGATGTTATAAATGATTGCTTTTAGCTCACATTTAAGGGGCCGGTATGTTACTGACAGGAAGTTTTCTCCTGTGTTTGATAAAATCATGTAACGATAAGTCGGGAAATGCTGACGTCATAGACGAGGCTTTTTGGGGAATTGACATGTATTTGACTATTGAGGGCGTTTCTTCGCATGCCACTGATTTTCCTTGTTTGGAACGGTCTGACGACCGTGAGGTTGTGATGATAAATTAATTCTTTTTGATTAGCCCAACGTTGTAAGTAGACAATTACATTGCTATTCCTTTAAAGAGTTGTTGAATGATAATCAGTGATAATTTCTATTAATTATGTTGATGGTTAGTGATGTAAATTTGTTGCGAAAGATTTGTATTGAAGTACGTAATGTAGCAGTGGTATACATAATACGTGCAAGTAATGCATGCATGCACTGTACACGTTTAGTGACCGGAAGTTGTCACGCCTCTTTTGTTAGTTGACAGATTATGAAGTGAGCCATGATAAATAAGGCTGTATGATAGATGAAGCATATTATTTCTTACAAGGTTGATATAAATGTTCAAGCTGGTTATTAGTGATGAATAATAAATAAATGTCTCATTTAGGGAGATAAAAGTTAGGCTTTGAATATATTGTTTATAAGTATTTTGCTAAGCTAAACTTGGGCCTTGTGTTGTGAAATTAGGGTTTTGAGAGCATTGCTTTGACCGGTTATTGTTTACATATTTGAAAGTCAGTGCTAGGATAGAAGCAAGCAAGCCTTTTGTATCAAATAGTTGTATTTAAGATCAGATATTGTTTCAGGAGAGGTTTTTGGATATGACACATAAATAATAGACACAAACAAGTTAATTCATATTCAGTTATGCATTTATTGATTGAGACCAGACAAGATGGATAATTATTGTAACAAATAATGTCATTGATAAGCATGTGTACATGTATTCCAGTATTGATTGGATGTTTCCTTTATTTGTTTTGTTCAATTACAGATTGAACCGTGCTCATACGTGCTGAAGTATCTTGACAGCGTGGTCTCATACTGGGTTTAGAACTTTGTGTCCTGCTTGATTATTTATCGTCACAGTGTCCCCAACATCCGCTGACCTACACTTAACAACTGAACTATTCATGTTCCCTGAAAATTGCATGTTTTTTTGTTTTTCGTTAGACTGAATTAGTCTGAATAGGGTCCTTAGATGTAAGCTTTAATATGTCACATTCTCAAGAAAGATGAAAAGGATATGACTTATTTAGTGGTTTACTCTATGGCATATACATTCCGCAGATCACAGCTTCATTAGAATCAAAACCTGAATAAAAAACCATTATATTGTTTTTATTTTTTCCTAATTAGCTAATCAAATCCCACGGATACAATATCATGTTAGATCTTAAGTTCGAATCAGTGTCGACGTACGTACATTATGTAAGTATAAGGCAGATCCAGAAAGGGTACCGCCCCCCCCACACTCTTTGGAACGAACATTTACATGGGCACTGGATGTTACGCTATACTCAGGTGATTTATTGGACTTTTGCCATGTTTGCAGTTTTCAAAAATCACGGGGCTCCTTTCAAGGCGACCCTGGATCCGCGCTTGTTAATAATATACAAGCTTGCTGATAAACAGGTCTGATTCATTACGTTCGGCAAAATGATTTTAAAAATACACCAGTGATCCATCGCATTTCCAAACTTCATGCAACTTTAAGACCCACCATTCTTTTACATTTCGCCCCCTTTCCATGTATTTTCGGTCGATTTTTAAAACGACGAACAATCGTTGACGCGCAATCTTCGTAATTGCCCGTTCACCTTATCGAAGAGGCCCAGCAAAGCCACGTCGATGTTGATAAATGAAGCATGGTAACCATTGGTTGATTTTAAAAGGGTCCACAACCTGCCTATCCGTGCCCACCCCCTTACTTTCCTTTTACAGAATTCTGGGTCCGCCCTTGATGACAACGTGCTTAACGCTTACCCTTCCGATAAATAATATAATGATGTACCACGAGCTTTGAAGCTACAGCTTTCTTCAAGAGTATTTTGTTCTCTCTTTGCTTTCGATGATACTCTGTTATGACGAGTCTGGGTCTGGTATCTTCTATTTTTTCTTCTCTCTCTCTCTCTCTCTCTCTCTCTCTCTCTATCTCTTTCTCTCTCTCTCTCTCTCTCTCTTTCTCTTTCTATTTCACTTCTCTCTCTCTCTCTCTTTCTCTTTCTATTTCACTTCTCTCTCTATTGCTCTTCTTCTCTCTACTTCTCATTTGTAATCCCCTTTTCCCAGTTATTTCGATGTTAGATCGGGAGGGGGGTGGGGGGAGGGGGGGGGGGGGGGTAAGTGCCCCCGTCTCCAATAATCACTATCTACGCCAATGAAACTGGTTAGACTTAAAGGGATAGTTGAGTTCTGTTTCAGACCGCAAATGCCTTCAAAGTGCATGGTTATTGCTCTTATTCTTATTTATGACATTTATAGTGCCCTTTTAGAACCTAAAATTGCTATGAAGGTAATTTTAGACCCCAAAATGTGTGAAATTTAGCCAATACGATCATACCAATTCAGCTCCACTTAAAAAAAAACACGGTGACCGTTATTTAATTATTTATTTTAAAAAATGACAATACATGAGCCGGGTAGTTGTGGGTAATATGAGCAACACGAAAATGCCAACAAAAAAGCCAACATCGGCATTGGCTGAAATACGACGTAAAAGGCGTTATTTCGTTTTTTTTTCAACGGTTTTTTCAATTTTTTCAAAATATCTAATTTGTGGTGGTACACAAATATTATAAAGCGTTATATTTCAGCCGTCTCTGAACCGATTTTGATCAAACAAAGATGATTTTGTGATTTAAATATTACGTTCTTCCGAATTTGACACTCAGTTTTTCATTATCTCCCAATTTTTTTTTTGTGTAGCGCCCTCTGCAACAGAACTCAACTATCCCTTTAAATCAAGAATGCAAACTATAAATGGTTACATTCGTGTACTTAGCATATCGAGCTCGTTGCACAACAATGTTATCCATCATTGATGAAGTTGTTTTTCCACACGTCAGACTATTGTTTTATTTGCCGTGAGTAATTGAAATTCGGATTGATACGGCGAGTCTTAGACTAATCTTTTACAGAAAGGTTCTACTTAATCTCTCATCCATCAGATGTCAAGGATTTATAAGTTTTTTTGTTATAGATATCACAAGATAAATCTTTAAAAAAGGTGGACTACATGTATTTACTTTTCCAATTCGTGTTGATCAAAATATAAATGTCAATGCATGTAATGACGCAGTCAATTACATTTAGTGATTTTTTTTTATCCTAACAGAAATTTTAATGACGACGCGATGCTTTTTGTTTTTTATTATTTTAGTTTTGATTTGTTAACCCATACAAATTGTTTTGAATAAATGAATGCAACAGTGTCACAATTATGCATGGCTATTCGCTTAACTCCTCACGTCCTAAAGAGAACTAACGAACAGAGCAATATAGATCACCTCGTCATGAACGAATCAGTCACTGTTTTTATCTACCGAAGATTTTGTAACTCTTGTAAAAGGCTGTTGGATAGTATTAGAAGAATTCAGTAAACGTTTTGTCACTTGTTCTTAGGTATTTTTGTTCTTCACTACAGAGTGAATGAGGCGATCGAGCTGTGGAGGACCGTCCCCCTTGCAAGTCCAAGGATCGCTAAGTCGTTCTACTCTAAAATCGGTATTAAGACCTACATCGAATTTTGTAGAGTGGAAAAGTTGAGGGTATGTCTCAAAGCCCATAAAAGAAAAAAAGGAAACTTAACTGTTGATTGTTTTAGAATTTTATTTGAATATGACTGGAATGTGACATTTTAAAAAACAAATGTCGCCATTTTTTAGAACAACGTGAGAAGGCGACGCACGTTTTAGAGAGGTCAAACTGTATAATAATTGATTACACGAAAAAGAGTTGACCTTTAATATTTCACCGGATGTGATAATATTACCGGAAATAGCTGGATTTTAATATGACGCCATCTTAGAGTTATTATTACGACGACCTTATCGGAGCTACCTTGGACGTCTGGACGACGTGGG